TGAATAATATGTTTTACATATCACCATAACAACCATTTATATACAAAACATTCCATCGGAAATTTCAAAATAATATAAAATTGGTTGTCATGTAATATGGAGACACACACGGACGGAAATCTCTCAAATAATATATATATGGTTGACATGGTAATATGGACACACACACATAGAAGATTTTCAAGAAGAAAAATTCGATACTTGTCGATATAGAATAGTTAGGTGCCGGCTCGTATAGAAGTCTGAGATCGATACGAGTCCGATACTTATCGCTTGTATATTGCACATGTAACTTCTTGAACGCTCTTGAACTCAAATGTATTCCTTGAAAATCTTGATACATTCATTTAAATATATATATATATGGATATGAAATGTTACATTTAATAATGTAGTATTCTCTGTTCATATCATTAATTATTATTACGCCTATAACACGTCAGGGTCACAATTATTATAATTTATTGTAATTTACGACCATATTTGTTGCTTCTTCCAATGATTCATCTGTCTGTGGTTGTACCATAGTTAAATACCGAAGCAAAAATGGCATGTATAGGTACAATAAGTACTTACAACAAAGCGGTGAGCCATTGTAAAATTATATTACCTACCTATCCGTCTTCAGGACATTTCAGTGACTTTTTAACTTCATGTCATAATTTAATAAAAATAAGAACATTTCAAGTATTTTTATATTATATTACCACAGAAGTGAATATTCTATTTATGACAATACTACAAACGTTGGAAAAATAATGTATGTTCATCAGAAAACTATAAATTAAACTACCATATTTGGGTGAAATTGTGTTAGTATTTACGTAAAATCCTATACAAAGTTGAAGTACTTTAGATTGTGACATTATACAAAAAAAAGTTTACACGTCTTTAATAGGTACTCATTAAAATTATAAAGATAATGTATTTCTTTAAACAAATCTTGGCACATTCTATTGGTTCTTAATTTAATGACATTGTATTGCTGAAAAATTTAAATGACCAATAAAAACATAAAATAAATATGCCCTACTGAACCGAAATTATATAAGCAACTCTAAAAATTCTTACGTTGGAGGTAGAAATGGATACGGGATTTCTGTAACAATTCAACCAGGTGACATGAGTATAGCTGGGATAACAATAAGATATAATACATAGTGTATTTTCTCATAGTCAATTCGAAAACGTCCTGCGTGCTATCAACAATTTGTTTGAAGACACCAATGTACATATAATTACCAGAAATATAATAGTCAATCGCTTATATTATTTTCGTAAGAAAATAAAAAAAACCCTACATATATACGTTACCCTATAATGCACAAGCCACTATACCACTTATTTCACCAAGTCGAACACACACGTATAATAATACGCACCGTGCAAAATATTGTTCCAGTTAAGTATATTATGTAAAAAGAACATTCTTGACAGACATATTCCAACGTTCCTATATGAAACTAAAAGTCTCGTGTGTTAGGTATTCAGAACTTTCCTTTTTGTACTATACTTACGAGTTTATGACTATTAGAAGTTTTTTTCTGCGATTTGCATTGGAACAGAAACAAGGCGAACAATTAAGTAAGTAAAATTTAATGACATAAATAAATAAACGCTTTGAGTAGGCATCATAATATAATACGTACCAAAACCTAGTTATACTAATAAACAACAACACATACATGCATATATATATATATATATTCGGCGGCCAAAAACTATATAATTAATTAAATAGTAAAATTTAGTACAATGATACATGAATAAACTTATTGGGTAGGTAAACAGTACCGAAAAAAATATAATAATTATAAAAAACAAATTTATATGTAGGAATATAAAATAATGTAATGTACATTTATAATAAATATTAAGCAAGATGTATTATATGATAATTTACAATATTATAAGGAATAAAGGGTGTAGTTAATTACACATAAATATTAAATAAACAGTAGAGGTACATAGGTATTCGGTAACACAAAAAAAACGGGTGCCCAAAGAATAATTAGGTAAATAATAAAAACATAATTTGAATGAGTTATAAAAATGTAAAAGTACAAAATATGTAGGTATAACAGCACTTAGATAATAACGTAAATTTTGTATAAGGTATATGGTAATCAGTAGGTACCGTAAAAAAAAAAAAAAATACAACAATAATATGTAGTTATATATATAACCCAAGAGAATAAATACAAAAAATATCAACACTATGTAATTAGATTATTTTATAAGACGAATATTGATAACAATATTTTATCTCCTACTGTCGAAGTTCGAAATTCATTTTATACAGCCACCGAAGGGTGGCGATGGGTGACGACTTGTGGACACACGGACGGGGGTTACGCACAGGGCGGATTACCGGTCCACAAGCTCGCACACCACAATCACGTTAAATATCCATCCGCAGACTGCTCTGGTTATACCTCGTGGATACGCAAGTGGCACTCAAGTGCATGCTCGACTTTCCAGGACGGCCGGGACACTTAAGTTCAGGCTTGGCGTTGATGATGGATGCGAATGTCAAAAGACTGCGGCAACAAGCACAGTTATTCACCCCGGTATACAGACACGCAGGCCAACGCACATGTGAGCCGTTGCTGATGACTCCATCAAACCAATCACGTTCGCCGTTGATTCAGGACGAAGTCCAACGGTAATGTCGCACGTTCGACGAGGTTTTTAGAAAGATAGCCAAACAAGTTCGCGACGATTGACCTGTCACAAAATTCAATATGAAAACATCATTATAAAATAATCAATCAATAACACAACATTATTATTATATTATTATCTAAGCTAATACACATTTTCCACTTAAGGAGCTTTTAAAACACCATAAAAAAAAATTAAATTTCATCAAAATCCCAGCCCACTTATCTTTATAATAATAATAACAGTCAATATTCCAGATGTGAAAATCAATATCAAGCAATTATGCAGTTATTAAACTGCCACACGGAAATAAAAAATTACAAGTTATACATTGTTAAAAATGATATTGTTATATCAACTAAATGTATTATAATCAAAACTATTGTGTGTCTGTTTAAATAACTATTCTAATATTGTTATATTATTACATCATTGGTAAACAATATTATTTTTAGAACAACTATATTTATGATAATAATAACCAATATCTATCAGTTGGAATAATTATTACTTGCTTGATTATTGATAAACCATGTTTGCGTTAAACCAACTTATATTATGGTTTATTTAACAAAGACTATAGGTAGTTAAAATATTTTAACTATTTAATTTTGTAAAATCAACATAAAAATAAAGCTAGAATATTGAACCATGAAGCGTTTTTAGGGTTATGTAGATACTTATGTACAATTGTACAACCAGTTGTTAGATTTTAATTTCTGCAACCAGAAATCGTTCGTTATTTTCTTTAATCTTTTACAGTTGACTGTATGTAACTGAGTGCTACTGTGTTCCGATTCCAGTGTTCGTCAACGTTTAAACGTCAACAGCTATTTTCAGGTATATATCTTTTACTTTAATGACTATAATCCTTATATTATTGTTACTTATTACAATTATTTTAGAGGAAAAAATAGATAGAATGGCTTTTTTAGACTTGACAGAATCAATGGTAGCTAGATTGATTCCAAAAATGGGACCACAATCCAAATTCTTGAAAATACTACGGACGTTAAGAGAAAAAATCCAGAGGGATAAAGTAGGTTACTTATTTAGTATTATTTTAAATAATAATCTGGTTATCGGTAGAAAAAACACCCTCGTTTTCGGAAACGTATATTTTTAAACGTGCAGAATTAGATGCTGGAAGTTTAGGCATATTGATAAAATTTATAAAATTAATAGAAAAAATAAACAAGACTTTAACACGCGTTGGTCGACTAACTCGTTATACGCGAACCACAGTACTAATATGACAAAAACATTTTAAACATTTAGTTCAATAAAATACGATTTATCTTATCGATTTTATGTTCCACTCACACAGTCACGCCATAATTTGTATAATGTTACCTAACGGTCCTAACAATGAGCGATAGATTATTTAGACATAAAGACAAGTTACGATAAACACAAACAATTAATATCTTGCCATATCTGGCAATGCATATCTGAAAACAGATAAGATGAAAATTGTTCTTGTCCACTATATCACGCGCGTTTAACATTGGGTGAACATTTACGGCGATTGAAAACCAAAATTTTTACAAATAAACTCAAAAATATGCATTAAAAATCCAAAATGCTAAAATAATCATGACTTTTAAAAAATCTTCAAAATATGCAAAAAATATGCAAAATAAAAATAGCACATTTTTAATTCCCAGTATATGAAACAGATTTTTATCTTACTAAGCTATCTTTTGGACTCACTAAAAAAATATGCGAAATGCTACAACATCCTAACCCTAATTATTTATTATTATACCTTCCATTAATTCTTAGGTACGTTGGATAGTTAATCAAATAGATTAATGAAAGTATTATTATACAAGTAGACATTCTCAAACTGTTTGTTACTAGGAATAGCATCAACAGAATCTAGTATCAGTGCATCTGGTGCATCCGGTTCTTTGAATTTAACCTAACATTGGTAATATTGCAAACTTTGAAATTCTTACTACACAAAAAAATTTAAAGGTTAGATGGTGGGGAAATATGCATTAAAGGCAGTTTATGCCAGTTAGTGCCAGTATTGGTGGAAGCGATCCAAAAGGCGTCTAACTCTTGAATGGTAATATTATTACGGTACGCTAAACTTATTATTATTATTACTGATTTAATATTCGTGGATTATTTATAAAATAAAATGTTTCTATGGTCTATTAAATATATAAATAACAACGAAACCCTATCATAACTTAAAAAAATTTGAAAAAAAAAAAACAAAAATTGGTGAAGATGCATTTACGCCAAGTTGCGCTGCTGAGAGCTATATAGTAGTAGTATGTACTTACATCAAAATATGAGTTCCCTTTACGTCTCGAGGTAACGATTTACATGCCCGCCGTCCAGAATACGGCCAATGGTGTCAGAACGATTACCGAAAAAAAAGTGACATCGGACACGTCCGAAGATATCTTCCGATCGTGGTCCAACTGGACTTGGCCATGGTCGTCCACTGATTCGATTGGGCCCCTGTTAAGAGCTATTACGAGCGGCACCACGGTATCGTCGTCGAGCAACTGATGTGCGCTAGTCGGCTGCAGGGTAGAACAGCGTCTGGTGACCACCGCTGGCATCCAGGAAGCCGGTAACAGCACGGGCCACCCGGGTCGCCATGGCACCATCAACAAATGTGGCCGGGTGTCTTTGTCGTAAAATGCACAACTAGTCAACGCATTTGATGCATGGTCGTCCACTGGTTCGTTTGGGCCCCTGTAACGAGCTGTAACGAGCGGCATCATGGTCTGGTCGTCCAGCAACTGATGTGCGCTTGTCGGCCGCGGTATAGAACAGCTTCTGGTGACCACCGCTGGCATCCAGGACGCCGGTAACAGCACGGGCCACCCGGGTCGCCATGGCACCATCAACAAATGTGGCCGGGTATCTCTGTCGTAAAATGCACAACTGGTCAATGAATTTGACGCATGGTCGTCCGCTGGCCGCACCACTTGCAGCACCGTTTGCCGTACGGCCGGCGAACGGCGAAGTCTGCTCGCTGCCAGTTTGCCCCAACCTAGGCCGGTTTCCCTCAAGAACTGCCTGTGGATAATATAATGATGCGAATAATAGATATTTCTCTATAGTCATAACTCATAAATCATAATAAGAATAACAATTTGTTTGTTAAAGGCTCTGTCAAACAGAAAGCGTTATTTTCACGCCCCGTGATTTTGTAATTTGTTACAACGCCGCGTTATTCACTAGCGTGAAAGCACCATGCCGACTAGCGTCGTAAAATAGCGACTTTAACGTGCGTATAATGCGTTCCGTTAAAGCCTTTAAAAATAAATACACAACGAGACGGATAATAGATATTATGCGATAATCCGTAAAGGTTGTATAGGTACCTGGTACCAACATATAATAATATTATAATCTTTAATATTTATCGTGATGTATTTTCAAGCACATATTTCAGCTACCTATTTCATCCAATAGATTTTGAACGGTTTCGATAGGTAAGTAATAAGGTAAAACTACCTGTTTGATTAATACATATATTTTTTTAAAACTACATAATTAATTATATAGATGTATATGTATATTCTATAATTCACAATAAATAATCCAACTTCCAAGATATCTAGATCATAGTTATGAGTCGTATGAGTGGTATGGCCATCATACAATCTCATATTATTAATTTACGGTAGTCCTTGCTCAGGTAAAGTTTATTTTTTTTTTAATTTTTATATTATTTGGTTAACATAAAATGATACAAAGTATAAACTATCTACGGAGTCACAGTGTACAAATATAATTTAACTAAATTACATAATTAAATAAACGATAGTAAAAAAAGAAATATACAAATTTTTCTTGATTTTTTTACCTAATAGGTTTTGTAATACCGAATCATAAACCTAATCAATGAATTATAACAAAATATAATTTATAAATTTATTGATGTTAGTATTATCAATGAAAATATTTATTTTCACATCTACTGGCATAGAGTTAAAACTTAAAATTAACAGGATAGTTAATGAACTTTTGTCCAAAACTCGTTTTTGTGTAGGTACTAGGTATATCACTTTAATATTAAATAATCGGGCTATAATTTGAGACACTAGCTGCTGTTCGTGCACATGTGTAAGAACTAAGAGAGTAATATCAAATTCTACTAATTAATTAAATTACCTACAATACATTTCAAAAACAGTATGTATTAACTGATTGGTATCATATGCATAAATACCACAATAATTGTAGGTATATAAACACTTAAACAGTTCTTTCAAAAATACAGTTATCCATGAAAAAGAAACATGTAAGTTTTCTAACAATAAAAATAAATTTAAAGAAACCCGTTACAACTGCTATAGAAAAAATTATCTATTTAACGCCCAAAAAACAGTCGTACGTATGGTACCTACCTCCTATTCGGAGATAGTACCTACGGAACGCGTTATAAGGACAAAAAAAAGAACTACCCACCTCATTTAAGCGGAGGTTTTTGTTTGTTTATATTTAAGTACCTACACGGTCTTCCGTCCTATAACGATGTCGGATGTGGTCACTCGATGTGAAGTACCTAACTCTCAATGAATATTAAAATTTGTCTAAACACTGACTTAAAACGACTGTGAAAAAAACACTCACTTGACGATTTTTTCGACGTCGTGAATAAACCTTAAAGCCTTGAAGGTCGTATGGCCGTCGCAGTACAGCCCAGAGATTCGCGGCAACAGCCTGGCATAAATTATTTTGCCCTCCAGGGTGTCTGCGACGACGATCATCAAGCGTCTTAAGAGGGAAGGGGCCATTTTTCGAGCTCTGACAACAACGTCGTCCACCGTTGTCCGACGCATCACGTGGAGTAGTCTGCCTGATGCAGTCCACATCGTCTTCCGGGAGTTTGCGACGAACACCGTAGAGCGTTGGACGAGGGTGGAGGCCACTTTTTTGTCAAGACACAAGACATGATCATAATAATTTCGGGCCTTTCCAACTACGTCTTCGACCGTCGTCCGGCAGAGGACCTGAAGCCGTCCGACTGATGTCCAGGTCGCCTTCGGACCGATGACCTCCTGGAGACTGAACCTTACTGCGGTTCCGGGTGCGTCTAGACTTGTTGCTGCGTTCGTCATGTGCACCGACATGACTGCCAACAATAACAACAACAACAACAACAACAAGACGCTTGACATGCTGTTAAGCGGTAACATTATAAAATAATATGATGAAATTACTGATAATAATAGAAATTAATTTTTTTACAATGATTTCACACAGACATATATTTTACAAAAATTACTTCAAAAATGTATTTAAACGATACAGTTTATGTTATATTATTATGTATTTTATTGCTGTATTAAGAAAAACAAATAATTGATATTAAGAGGTTTTAATTGTTCAATTTAAACTTTAAACATGGTTGTTTTTGATTTTATCTTAAAATATTATATTTATATGTTTTTTTAATAAAATATGTTCATTGAATTGTTTATTTGAATTGGAACATATAATGTTTATTGTCAGTTTAAAATATTTTTATTTATGTTTTTAATAGTTAAAGGGACTCAATATCACTAAAATTGATGCCTGATGGTGTACTTAGTATTGAATGTAATTTTGGGTTAGGGAGTATAAAAATTAAAAAATATATATTTTGTTAGGAAAAAAATACTATTAACACAATATGTTTACAAATCATTGTTTTAGTAAATTTACACGATGAAGTGTAAAAAAAATTGAAGCGATGGGGGTTTACCCCCTCTCTGCACAAGGGCCTGTCATGTATCACTATTGTTTATACATATACATGAATATATCATGTTTATTTGGCCCTCCCTAAAAAATTTGGGCCTCAGCCTGGCCCACCTGGTATTAAAATTCTGTCTCCGCCACTGTTGGCAATACGTTTTGTCTACTTTTTCATCAACCTGTTTGAAAGAAAAAATAAACAATTGTATAGTTTATCTCTTATGAATTGTTTCATAAAATTAATTTACTTCAAAAACGCTTAAATCTCCACTTTGGTAGATTACTGTGCCCGGTGTTGTTTTCCAATTACAGTGTCGTTTATGTCTTTTTAAAATCGATTGACATTTAGTGTATTTTAAACAAAATTCACAAAATATTAATCTCTCAGCATTCTCTTCCTGCTGGAATGGACATAAATAACAAGTCTCCACTTCAAATTTTCTCAATTTTATTACACTCGGACATACTACTGGAGTTTGAATTGTACTCTACAAATGTCAATTATAGAAATATAACAAGTATAAGACGTCATGTTATATTAAAATAAAATAAATAATTTTAATTTTACATTCTTTTCCAGTGTTCTACTCCGTTTACATATTTTTATATCATCGTTCACCACTCCATATGGTAAGTCCGATGCCTCAGGTCGGATCATATTTTCCAGAACTGAAAATTGTATTTAATATTTATTACTAACTACTAAGACTGGTTAGTAAGCCAAAAAAGTTAAGTACAGCATAAATGGTCACTAATATAAATTGTTAAAGTAGGTAAATGGCAGAACATATATTAATACTGTTTAAAAATACAGCATGAGCAAGTAATCTCGCTTAATAATAATATTATAATATGCTTATTTGTCCTGTAATTTGATGAACAATATCCAGAATTATACGGTATTTCAACCAGTTCTAATGTAATATGGAGTTTGTCTTAAACCGATATTATAGTAATAAAATAGGATGAAAACATTTTAATTTTTAATGTATAACCCAAATTTTCTCTGTGCGGCCCAGTTTTCATATGTATTTATGAAATTAAATGAAATAAAATAAACAAATAATACTAAATTTAAATAATTATCAACATTGTTTTTAATGTGAAATTGAGAATATTATTATTTTGTAAATTAAAATCATCCACATAATATTGACGAGCATTGAGTACTGCCATAGTGCCATATAACATAATATATATTTTCTAAAGATGTGTCTAAAAGAGCAATGACGTTTTTATTTATACGTTTACTGCATATGTGTATTTTTTATTTTATATGGTTTTGCTTATAAATAATATAAACTAACCTATTTATGATATACCTACACTTTTTTAAGACGTATTATTTTATATGTCATCGCTAAAAATATTGCTATAAAATTATTAAAATCATAAAAGTGTGACGTAAATATCATTCACTAGTATATATCATACGTAAATATCATTCCCTGGTATTCACTAGCCATAATTGCTTCAAAATTGGAATTTATTTATTTTTAATTTTCCATTCGTAATCTGCTCTCTGAGTACTATGGCCTATGGGTACTTGGTATCTATACATACTATGTTTGATTAATATACTCAAAAGAACGTAAATACAAACATGCAACATGCAAAGGATCAAAATTAAACACACCAGATCATATTCCGTTCACACTTAGTGCATTAAGTTCAGCACTTTGCTTAAATAATTTTGATTTCTCCTTGGAGATAGCAGTGTCCCACCGGCCCACCGAACACTACCTCTAATTGGTCGATGTGTTTGGGGGGAGGGGGTGGTGAGAAGTAAGGAGAGACATTACCCAGATAGCAATTTCGTAACATTGACGTTTTAATAACATCAAAACTAAATTAAATTTTAAACATTATAATCTTAACGTTCATATAACGTTTTATAGAGTTTAAAATAGTAATATATTTTTTTAAACATTCTCTTACTATCACGATTTTGTTTTTTTTTTAATGTTAAATGTATAACTATGACACAATATTAAAATAATATTTAGTTATCAACGTAAAGTAATATAATTTGGAGAATATTGTCTGTATGTTTCCAATCGGTTAAGTTTATATTATTTTAATTGTAATTTTCTCAAAACATTTTGATAATGTAATTTTTAAAACAAAAAAATGTGGGCATAGAGTTATTTTCCCATGAAGTTATTTTTGATGATAACCCTACGGAGAAATGGCCACAAGGCGCGCTGCAATCGAGTAACTAGTGGCGAGCACTATAAATAGGTATCGGATGTAGATTATTAATGTAAAAGTAGTAAAAAGTATAATATAATATAATAAAAGTATTACAATTAATTATGGTACCTAGCAACTATAAATTAAAGTCTATAATATAAAATATGATTTTCAAATTGTATAGAATTACGGAAAATGGGAAAAACTGTACTAACACCCTTCAAGTAATTAATTTTACTTTTACTATAGACACTGTGCAAGTTCTGGAAAACAGCGCGGTCTGTTGGACAACTGTCACACTTAATGGAGGGATAAATACTATTATAATATAATATAGGAATTAAAATATTAAATTAATATTATTGTAATTTATAATATTATTTGCAATAAGCAGTGTTGACATTTTAATATTATTATATAATTTACTATTATTTTTCATACTTTAAATAGATAAGATACCTAACAGATAAAAAGACAAAAATAATAACTAATAAGCCAACTCAAATAATTCATATTATTGCACATTAGACAGTCAATACCTAATTAATTAAGTTTATTAAGCTTTAATGTTGTGTTAACACAAATTTTTAAAAATGACATCTAATCCAGATATCGTAATAACTTGTGGTTTTCAAACCATATATTATGAAGCTGTACAAAATAATAAATAAGGCATGAACTTGGCTAACTGTGGACATGTAATAAATTGCACTTAAGTAATAATTAATGATGGTATTTCATTTATTAAATCACTTGTAATTAGACAAGCATCTGTTAGTAACCCACCATATGGGGTTAAACTTGAAGTAAGCAAAAGAGTAAAACAATAATATGTATATTAGTTACTACTAATATTTAAATTGTATGTAGTATGTTTACTTTTTATTTTAAATTAAGTTGGACTCTACCAGGAATGTTACTAATGCAGAATGTCAGTGTCCAGCTGGTGCTGGGAGGGAGTGTAAACATATTGCTGCATTGGTACACTATATTAATCAAGAAGATGCTAAGTCTAAAACAGATTTTGAGAAACAATGGGGGAAACCTTCAAGAGCTGGTGAGCAAAAATACAAGAAAGGAAAAACAATTTCAGAATTATTTATTCCAAAAAAAAAAGTAAAGCTAATTAATGACCTAGAAGAAGTAAATCATATTGAGTTAGTTTCAAACTATAATATTCTTGATATTCCATGTAGTTTCACTAAACTTCTAAGTGTAGAAACTAAAACGGAATTAGACAGAGAATGTGAAAGCTGTGTAAAATGGTTAGTCGATCAAACAGAAATAAATGAATTATATTCCAGACATGGACTAAGTTTAGATTTTATTTTGGTTAGACAAAAATCAATTAACTTTTCAAATTTCCAGATGATTTATCAACAAATATTTATTTTTTAATTAGTAAGCATTTTGTTAGAAGTACTTGCAACAAATGTACTAACTGAATTATTACCCCTTTCAAAAGTGCATTCAAATGAAAAACATTGAACGTCAGAAGCATCAAAAGCTACTTGAGTTCCAATACCATGGCTACGATTAGTTGATACCACATCTTCATTAATACCTTAATTTGAGTCATTTATTGTCATAGTAAATGGTATGACAGTATTGCATTTTCTTTGTTTATCTCTGTAGCAATTATGTCTATCATATTGCTGCATTTCATTAATTGATTTCTTCTTATATATGTTAGGAAATAATGTTGGAAAATAGGCAGGGCTGTTGGGATTTTTAGACGGAATATTTCCAACGAAATGAGCACTGCACACAACATCATGCATTTTTGGTTGCCATGGTGATCCATCAACACTAAGTATAGACATTTTTATAGTAGTTATTGGAAATAAATACACTAAAATCATATACATAGGTACTTGATTCGTTTAATACAATCCATTTTGATTTTCATGATTATCAAGTAGGTAGTGTACTGTTTTTAATTATCATTAACATAAATATTATATTTATTTATTAGCATTCAAAAAAAAAAATCACTGTATCCCATACACGTTAAGTAATAATGCGTTTTGATGTTCCCTCCTATTAGTACAATATTTGCAAGGCTGGGCAAGTTAACGTTTTTTTTTAACTCGTTAAGTTAAGTTATTTTAAAATAATTAAGTTAAGTTAAGTCAAAAGTTACTCTTATTTTTTTTCGCTAACTCGTTAAGTTAAAAGTTAACTTTGAAAAAAAAGTAACTTAACTTAGTGTAAAGTTAAAATTTGTCTAATTTACAAAAATAAAAAAATCCAGACACATAATTTGGTTGATTAGATAGTTTTTCTTTACGTCCAAGAAAATGACTGTGGAAATTTAAAATGATATATCAATTTAAAAACACATTCAAAAATTTGCATTATTCTTGGGACGAAAATTAACTTAATTTAGTTATTTTTGAAATAAAATTAACTTGAAGTTAACACGTTAATCTTGAAAAAAAGTAACTTATTAAATTAAAAGTTAACTTGAAAAAAAAAGTAACGAGTTGATTAACTTAATTAAAATTAACTTAACGTTTTAACTTAATTTTAATTTTTAACTCGTTAATGCCCAGCCTTGAATATTTGTCCACGAAGCACTATCGTACAGCTTGCACAGCGTCTATAAGACATTAGAAATACTGTAGGATGAATTAATTTATCAATTGTTGAACTATTTAAACATATAGATTTTCTATTAAAATAATACAACAATTTTTAGATAGAATAATAGAGGTTTTGAACCTTCTACATTGACTCGGAATTATTGTATGCTGACCACTAGAACACAGTGTGAAAAAAAATAAGATAGTTTAAATTAATAACTATGTTTTAATAAAACAGCTTTTTAGGACTACATATATTTTAGTATTTGTAGACAATCTTTTTCTAATTTTTTTCATCATGATTATAATATGTGGGTTAATATTATGTGGTTTTTGTTTGCACTTTAGGCAATTTACTTTTTTATTTATTATATACCTATAATGTTTAAAAACTATGCTGTAGGTATATTAAATATTTATACTATTATTATACCCATACAGTTGTCTCTGTTTAGCCTACATAATAATCAAAATATATGTGCGATGGAAATTGGAATTAAAATCAAAAATTTGGTGAAGAATAGATAATTCCATTTAATGCATTTTCTCAAATATATGAGACTTTTGTATAATGTAGGTACCAACAAAATTAAGTACCTAACTACTGATATTTACAAAATAATAATAATAATTATATTCGCGTTTCCGCTTTTATTATTTGTAATCATTACAATTTAGTGAATTTACCTATTATTATTTATTACATATAAACTAATTATAATATCTTCGTTCTTCAAAAAGAAATCAGTAATATCAATTATAATGGCGAATTGAAAAAAGCAAATACTACAGTTCCATCTCCAAAATAGGACGTATAAGGTAAGTATAAATATTTTCATAATTTTTCACTTAAACAAATTTAGTTTTAATATTATGTAGGTAAAATTATCAATAACTATGACAACAATATCTATTGTATTTAACAGGCTAGTACCTAACAGATAAAAATGAAATACTTTTGTGTATAATAACATTATTATAATTAAAGTCCAGTTTTGTAAAAATACTTTTAAAATTGTATTCAAATACAGATAAAAATGCATCCATTCAAAACGTTATATATAATATATAAGTACCTACCTAAATGGTGTAATTTGTTTCATTAAAAAGGTTTTTCATTTTAGTAATAGGTTAGGTTGAATTTAGATGTATAAACTATAATATATTAAATGTAGGAAATTGGGTGAGAAAAAAGATTATAAATATGTATATTATGTTATATCATATTAAATAAATACTATTTAATAATGTACCTAGGTATTTTAAATACCAGATCTATTCTGTTTCATCTAAATATTTAAAGCCCCTCCAAGTCAAAAACGGAAATCACTCCTATGGTTATAACTACTTATAAGTTATAACTACAGTCTACAGATGTAATATGTATAATATTTCAATTATAAATACGTTCAAAATTAAAATCCCATTACAATGCACATCACAACTTTTGCGCGTCAACCAGTGCAGCAGTGCGCGTCAGCTGTCGATGTCCCGAACTCCCGAAGCTGACCGCAGTCCGCCCCACCAATAAGCGCTTTGCTGAAGTCACCATCGGCCGCCACCGGCAGCGCGCCTAGAGCCCGCAAGCGACCTCCGTGTCCCGTCTTCCGATGTCTGATCACATTTTTCCCGTTTGTCGTTGTCCGTCTTTCAAGTTTCAACTTTTTCTATTCGCCATTCGGGATATCTTTGCGACCTCGCGTCTGTTAACTGTTTTTTATTCGTTGGTTCGCCATTTCCCACAACTTATTCAATATTCACGAGCCGTGAGCAGACATTAATGTTAACCTGCATCGTTCGAGTTCTTTTAGTGTGACACTGTGACGTTATCGCCGAGCGCCGATTTTAAGTAATAAGTTGTATAACATAATAATCGTGGTGCCGTCGCCATTGCAGCTACGCGGTATTTTATTTGGTCTATTTGCATTCTTTTTAGGTGCGTGTCCAGCCGTCCGTCCAGGTGTGCGACTTTGGGGACTGGTAAGCTGCCCTCGTGCATAACTCCCGTTTGAGAGTCCCCAGCCACCACCATCTTGTCACGTGGTGTTTTGTGACGGCTGAACGGCTCCCAACCGAATTTCTGTACTTTTGAGGTTAACCGTCGACCGTCGTTTTTTTTTCGTACAGGCTACAACGTATCCGCCGTACCCACTACCCACGCGTGTGCCATCTGACATCACTAAATCGTTCGTTTTTCTTCTGCGTTTTGTGGCACTGACGTGATCACCTATTGTCGATTTTAAATCTTTATATTTAGGTATCGCCGTTTGTACCTTACTACCGTCGTCATTCAGCCATTGCCGTGACGTGCTGTTTTGTTTCGTTCTTCGACGCTATTGGCATTCGTTTTAAGTACGTGTTCACTGTTCAGGTGTGTGACTTTGGGGACTGGTAATCTGCCCTTGTGCATAACTCCCGTTAGAGAGTCCCCGGTCGCCACCATCCGTGTCTTGTCACATACTTTCCTACAACCTATACATATTCGCATTCCATTAAAGAACGTGTCCAGGTGTGTGACATCGAGTTATCGGGGCTACCTACACCTGCAGTACGACTACATATTACAGGTAATATAATAACAATTTATTATGTTATAGGTAATATATCACTAGGTACTATGAATCTTTATGTAGTTCTATAATAGTAGCATAATAGGTATAATAGTTACATAATAGGTATCAGGTAGGTAAGTATACTATATATTATAAGTAAGCAGTAGGCACCTAACATACCTACCAATTTATATTTATTTTCTTTTTTAGCATATTTTGCTTCTTATTTATTTGCACTTTTATTGTTGAATTTTGCTCCTATAACTTCTCATATTACTTAGTACTTTTGACATACATTGATACATTGGTATAAAGATAGTACCTATATTTATTAATAATTGATAATAATTGTACCAAAATTTCTCATAATTTATAATTTCTTTCCACCCCTTTCAATACAATCTTAATAATAATACCTGTACTTAGAACTTACTACAAAAATGAGTACAAGTGAGAGAACAAAAAGAAGGAAAATTAGGGAAGAAATAAATATACTTCACAATGTGTATTCTCACTCAGCTTCCAGCTCGGCTTCCAGGCATGATATAGGTATAAATAATGAAGTTAGTACTATGCGAGGTACTATAGATCAAATTGAACAGCAATTAGTGACAAATTGTGTACCTTGCAACAGTGCAGTTGAAATTGGTGAGCCTAGTGTTTTATTTTCACCGTTATCATATGATCATTCAAATGTGGTGACTCACCCAGATCCGAGCCCAAATCAATCAACATCCTTAATTTCTTCTATAATTCCAAGACCAGTGACTCCATCTCATTCTTCTGATAATACTTCAGATTATTCTATTCAACATTTTTTAGCAAGTGGGCAGTTCAGTATAATATACCTCACAATGCTGTTAATGGTTTACTGAAAGGACTAAAGAAACATGATTGTTTTAATAATCTACCTTCTGATTGTAGGACTATATTACAAACACCTTCTAGTGCTTCAAAACATATTCGTAAAGTTGAACCTGGTCTCTATCATCATTTTGGATTAGCTAATGGTATTAAATTGAATTTACCCACAAACGTTTCTGAAGTAAAAATTGCAATAGGTATAGATGGATTACCAATTTCCAAAAGTAGTAGTAATCAGTTTTGGCCGATTTTAGCCTACATTGAAGTTGAGTCTCCATTACCAAAACAAGTATTTTTAGTAGGACTTTATTATGGTACAGAAAAACCACATTGTAGCAATGATTTTCTGTTAGATTTTGTCGTAGAAGCTAATGAACTTACATCCAATGGTATTATGATAAATTCTGTTAAAATTAATGTCATAATTAATGTTTTTTGTTGTGATTCCCCTGCTAAAAGTTTTATCTTGAAAGTAAAAGGGCATAGTGGATTTTCTTCTTGTACTCGATGCAAGATTGAAGGCGAATACATAGATCGTAGAGTATGTTTCCCATATACAAGAGTGAAATCTACTAGTAGAGATCATATATCCTATATTAACACTCTGGATGAAGATTTTCACGTGTATAACACAATTTCAAATTTAGCAGAGTTGCCCAATTTCGATGCTGTTTATTCATTTAGCCTTGATTATTTACACCTTGTAAATATTGGTGTAATGAAGAAATTGTTAATGCTTTGGGTAAATAAGGGTCCATTGAGTATACGTATTAGGGCAAGAAAAATTATTGAATTATCAGAATCAATTTTGAAACTTAATTC